AATTCTGGAGGGAAACTTTTAAAAGCCTCACCTAGACCCAGTGACTGTTGCTTCAAATACTTAAGAGCTGGGTGGGAGTGTAGCTCAGTGCTAGAGCACTTGCCATCCACGCAGAAGACCTGGGTTTTGTCTCCAACAATAGAGGAAGGGGGGATTGTGAAAGATCAAAGACCCAAAGAATGAGGAAGAACAAGTGTGGACACATCACACCTGAAATGAAAATTTGTCACACTGAAACACAGTAATCAAGACAGTCTGATATTAAAGCTGAAGAAACACACTAAGTAAATAGTAGAGAAAAAAGAACCAAACCAACCTGGGAACTTCAGATCAGATACTAGATTATGCAATAAACAGCCACTAGGATAGCTAGCTATCTATATGAATAAATACAAAGTACACCATCACTTAAATCCTTTTCAAACAATTCCTAAAACAAATAACGACCGAAAGGTAGAAAACAACTCATGGAATTTTAAAGAATAACAAGTGAGTGTTTTAAGAATGGAAAATTATTTCCCAAAGGAAATATAAATAGGAAAATATCAACAAATTTGTGTATATTACAACTTAATATCTATTATTCAGTAAGTGAGGGCAAGAGATAAAAAGCCAAGTTCTCTTAAGATCGAAGACATACCTCACAACACCTGTACTAAAATTAGGTTCCTACAGTTCAGGAAAGAAGAAGAACCACTTACGTGGATCAATGGAATAGAATTAAACCTCAGAAATGAACACACAGATCTATAGCCACCTAATCTTCGATAAGGGAGATAAAAAATAGAATGAAAGAAAGACTGCATCTTCACTAAATGGCAAAATTGGTTAATCACCTGTAGAAAACTAAAGCTATATCTGAATATATCACCCTGCAACATAATCACCTCCAAATGAATCAAAGGCCTCAGAATCCGAGCAGACAAACAAAAACATTAAAGTAGGGAATAGGAGAAACACTAATTCTTCTTGACACAGGTCAAAATTTTCTTAAAGAGACCCTGAAACACAACAAATCAAAGAAAGGTCGCACAAATGGGATTGCATGAAGCTGTACAGACTCTAAATGGCAAATCACATATAGCTACCAAGATCAATAGGAAGCCCACGTATTGGGAGATCTTCACTAGCCATACAACCGAGAAGAGCCTCATATCTAAAATATACTTGGAGCTCAAAAAATTAAATTGCCCAACAACAAATAGTCAAAGAAACAACTGCCCAATAAATAAGTGGGCTAAAGACTTAAAGAGAAACTTCTCTAAGGAGGAAGTAACAATGGCCAATAGACACATGAAAAAATACTCAACCTCTCTAGACATAAAGAAATGAAAACAACATTAAGATTCCACCTCACCACAGTTTGAATGGCTATAATGAAGAACTCTGACGGAGGCATAGAATTGCATTGTTTATATATACCACATTTTCTTGATCCATTCATCTACTGAGGGGCATCTGGTTTGGTTGCATATCTTAGCTATGGTAAATAATGTTGCAATAAACATACTTGTGCTGGTAGCTTTAGTATGGTCTTATTTGTGATCATTCAGGTAAATGCCCAAAAGTAGGATTGCTGGGTAACAGGGGAGCTCTAGGTGCAGTTTTTTTCAGGAACTTCCATACTACTTTCCAAACTGATTGAATATGTGTACACTCCCACCAACAATTGCCCCATATTTTTAGTGAACATACTTTATTCTCCTCTTGTATTTGCTCTATACCTTGTTTTAAAAAGTTATGAAGTTCACAGCTTTATACCAAAATGTAAGAAGACTAGGCTTATTTGTTTATAAACATTTTTGCAGTCAGGTGTCATCTGAATTGTTCCTTCGAATCCATACTCAATACTGAAGAAAAAAATCAAAAACCAAGGGTACTGGAGTAGAGTGGTGCTGTGGCTCAAGTGGTAGAGTGCTAGCCTTTAGCTCAAGAGCTCAGGGACATTGCCCAGGCCCAGAGTTCAGGCTCTATGACTGACAAAAAAATAAAAAAAAGAAATCAAGTTCATCAGTATTTTGAGGCTGGGAAGTGCCTCAGTGGTATAGCGCTTGCTGTGCATGCCAGAGTCCCTGTGTTCGATTCCTCAGCACCACATAATCAAAAAGAAAAAAGCCGGAAGTCGTACTGTGGCTCAAGTGGTAGAGCTCTAGTCTTGAGCTGAACACCTGAGGGACAGCGCCCAGGCCCAGAGTTCAGGCTCCATGACCGGACCCCCCCCAAAAAAAAGGGTGGATGGACCCGACTGAGCAAGTGTGGAAGTGCTTTGGGCTCCTCCAAATTCCATGTGAGAGTGGATGTGTGCCCCTCCTCTAAACCAAAAACCCCTGCTTCCCACAGAGTAGCTGACTTCACCTACTGCCCTAAATGTGTGGTCCTGCTGAGCCGCATGGTGACTAGGTTTTCCCAGATTTGCTCTGAATTCAAGGTTGTAATGAAGCTGAACTGGAATCAAAATGAGGTCGAAAGAGGAAAGGCTGTTGAAGACATTTCTCCTATTAAGAGAAATACTGCCTCATTTTTTAGGGAATGGGAAGACTTGGAAAAAATTATATTAAGTGAAGTAAGCCAGGTCCAAAGAAAGATAGGTCCCATGGATTGCCTTACTTACAATAAATAGAATATGTCTGAGACAAGCCGAAGCGGTCCGACAAGTTGACGTTAGTCTAAATGAATCCCAAGATAAGGACTCAAATGTTTTTTTTTTTACTATTGTTTCTAACATATTTAAATGATGATTTCTTTGTTGCTTTGTATTTCCCTCCCCCATGGTATAAACCCTGTTTTCCCTGTAGTTGATGTTGGTATAATTTGTGGAGGGGAAGGGTAAAAAAATTGTTTAAATAGGGATACAGGTGGGTCCATTGCAACAATGAGATGTACAAGATGTTATGTCGAAAAACGAACTTTACAACTTTGGGGGGCCAGGGAGGGAGATGGGAAGAAAGGGTTAGTGAGGTGAAACAAAGGAGGAGGCAACAATGCTTGATATGAAATGTACTCATTACCTTTCTCTTGTCATTGTTACCCCTCTGTACGGAATTTTCACAATATAAAAAACTTATTTAATACAAAAAAGAACTCTAACAACAAATGCTGGTGGGGATGTGCCCAGAAGGGAGCCCTACTGCATTTTGGGTGGGAGTGTAAACTTGTTCAACCACTTTGGAAAGTAACATGGAGGCTCCTCAAAAAACTCCACATAGCGCTCCTCTATGACCCAGCAATCCCATTTTTGGGCATTTACCCAAACGATCACATACAAAGCCATACTAAGGTTACCAGCACAACGATATTTATCACAGCATTTTTAACATATGTAAGATATAGAAGCAGCCCAGGTGCTCCTCAGTAGAAGAATGGATCATGAAAATGTGGTATATACATACAATGGAATTATATGCCTCCATCAGGAAGAATGACATAGCCCAATTTGTTAGGAAAGGGCAAGATTTGTTAAAAAAATTATGTTAAGTGAAGTAAGTGAGGCCCACAGAAACATAGTTCCCATGGTTTACAATAATTAGTATATGTCTAGGACAAGTAGAAAACGTCAGAAGCTATGTTCTTATGATCGGATAAGATGAAAGTAAGCGAAATGCACCCCAAGATTGGGACAGATGTTTTTTTTCCTCTTAATGCTATTTTTTTCTAACATACCTATATGGTACCATGTGATTTTTTTTGTTGCTTTGTATGTCCCTCCGCCACGGTCTATCCCATTTCACTGTATTTGATGTTGGTATAATTTGGGGAAGGGAAGGGAAAAAATCAAAACGTTTAATAAGGGATACAACTTGACCCATTGTAATAATGAGATGTACAAAACATTGTTGAAAAATAAACTTTACAATTTAGGCAGGGGTTAGGGATGTATAGTTGTGGAAATGGGAGGGAAGGGATGGTAGGGGAAAAACAAAGGAGGAGGCAACAATGCTTGATGAGAAATGTACTCATGTACATTTCTTTCTTGATAAGAAATGTACTCATGTACATTTCTTTCTTGATAAGAAATGTACTCATTACCTTGTTCATGTCATTGTTACTCTTCTGTATGGTGTTTTCATAATATACAAAACTTATTAATATAAAAAGGAACTCTAATAACAGATGCTGCAAGGGATGTGCCCTCATGTAATTGTAAACCCTTTCTCATGTAATTGTCAACAATCTCTACAGAATTAAAAAAAGTAAAGTAAAAGAGTTCATCATGCTCTGTAGCAGGTGGATCACTGGTTTGGAAGGAGAGAATCTTTGCAGGCTCTAAGCCCATAACCCAGGGCAATGCAGTCTATAGCCTGGAAGGGAAGCCTGAAATACTCTGTGTATGGCCTTTCTTCCCTTGGAACCACAATTTAACAGGAAGAGGCAAATGTGTGTACCTCAAGCTTGGGTATGCACAGTTACAATCACATACAACCCCCCCCCGGGGATTATTTCCCAGAAACCAGGAAGAAGGCCCACTTGCTGCAAAATTGGTGTATCTGGGATGAGAGTAACTGGGACTACTGGTAGGAACCAGCAAGATGGCAGTCCACAAATTGAAGAACAGGTAACTGGGCTCCACCTCAGGGCAGTCTGCAAGACCTGGCCTTACTTCTCCTAGGTCTAATGTAGCACCTGCCTGGCCACTCTGGCACAACCTGCATACATTCCAGTAAACACATGCATTCATGCATAAAATCCCTTACCAGCAATTTGTTCCCTCAATGGTAGAGTGTAAGGGCACCCACTTATGTCAGAAGGGACAGGAGTGTTGGTTGGGGAGGACAGTAGCATCCACAGTTCCAGTACTATAACCTTGGGATACACAGACCATGATGGAGAAAGCAAGTTGTGGAGGGGAGAAACTCCAAGATCTGGCCACACTTCTCTTGGTCCTGTTGAGCACCTCTAGTTCAATCTGGCATCATGTCTGTGTGTTCGTATGAATATATACACAGGGGCACAACCCTTCTCCCAAGATCAGTTTCTAAGTAGGGCTGATGTGGTCCACTTACCTCGAAACCAGGGCATGTGGGATGGCACCATCACTTGGAAACAGACCAGAAAGATGGAAGCGTACCAGGTGAGGATGAAGAGGTCCATAGGCAGAACCTCCTTGTTGCAGTTGAAGCTGTAGTGGGTTGTTGATTGTGGCAGCATCCCCAGCTCTTGTCCCATAATCCCCAGACAAACAGGCCACAGCCAAGAGAGGAGGTGGAACAGATGTTATAGAAGCCTCAGAAGAGGGGGTGGAACCAAATTTTCTCACAACAGGGCTGTTCTGAAATTTCTCCCACAGGGGTCAGGGGAGAAATTACAAAACAAGGAATGAAGGAGAGGGGCTCATGTACCTTATGGGGTCCTCTGAAGATAGCTCCCACAGCTAGGCCCACTTTGAGCAGGAAGGTCATATGGTGAAGCTGAAGATCCATCAGGCTCCCCTAGTATCTGTGCCAAGCATAACACCAGTTGAGAGAGGGAGGCAAGGGCTGCAACTCCAACCCCATAAATGCCAGTGAACATGGGGAAAACAAGGAACCCGAAACTCTACAAGTCATAGCTGGGAAGGGATGCTGAGAAAACTCTGAGCCAGGACCTTCCTTCTCTGCGGCCACCACAACTGGATTCAGACCAGTCTGTCACCATTTCTGTGTGTTGTATGTGGACACATGTATGTTCCTTCACCTGAACATATTTTCCCACAGGAGGGGCTGAGCCAGGAGATGGACAGAGAGGTGGGTGGGTGGGGCACTAGGGTCAAGAGGTGAGTGGGGATAAGGGTGGGCAGGGAGAGGGGGACCAGCTGGGAGGAGTTAGGCCCCACTTACATTGATTCAGGACTGCTCAGGGATGGCTCCTGCCGATGGCCCCAAAACTGACCAGGAAAGTAGAGGTCCCACATAGTCATGATAAAGAGGAACCAACATTAGCTCCAGTACCAACAGATGTAGGGGAACTGAGCATCCAAATGTGCTACAAGGTCAAAGGTGTAATGGTGGACAGGGAAGACTCTGATTCCCTGCTTTCCTTCTCCAACGACTGTGTTGCCTTGGTTCAGTCCAATAGCATCGTCTACTTACGTGCATGCCACACACATCCCTTCACACAGGAAGGGGTGGGAGGCGGAATGGTGGGAATGGGTGGCAGGGGATGTAAGGGATGGGGATGGAGTGGGGGAAGCAAAGGGTAAGGCAGGCACTTGGGTGGGGAAGCATGATTTGGGGTGGACAGGGGAAACAATTGGTTTTGGGAAGGTGAAGGACGGTGTGGGGTTGCTGATGGGAAGGGGGATAATGAGGAAGGGGACCCCAGTGGAGAACCTAGCAATAGAAAGTGGAGAAGAAGAGGGATTCAGCTCACTTAACACTTAAGAGCCCTGTCCTAGGGATGGCTCCTGCTGGGTGGCAGAGGAGAGAATGGAGAAGAGGACAATGGAGAAGAGGACAATGGAAGGGGGCGAGAGGAGGGGGACGCACTACATTGAATCTGGGTCTTTGGTGGTGGCTCCAGCAGTTAACTGCACAGTGTCCTTGAAAGTGGAGGTTGGCTGGCTGGTGATGCCTAAGAGGCACTGGGGGGACCATGTCTCTGCAACAGATGCAGCACCAGTTAGGAGAGGCAACAGCTTTCTCAGCTCCAATGCCTCCAGAAGTTGCTTCATAACAATCGGTGACTACTGAGGGCATGATCAAGAGGGGATGGGGGTGACTTCTAAGTCCCAATCTTCCTTCTATGGAGGAGGTTCATTCCTTCACCCACAAATCTTCCTACACAGAGAAGAGTGGGGCCGGGTTGAGGATGAGGTTCACACCATCGGTGGTGGAGAGGAGGAGATTGGGTGGAGTTGGGCCCCGTTACCTTGAACCTGGGTCTTCTATGGTTGTCTTTGGCAGAAGGGTCCCAACACCCCTAACCCAACTAAGGTTTGTGGGGCACTGGAGGGCCAAAGAACTGTGCAGGGGTGGCCCATGTGTTGAGGGGACAGGGGTGGGGGTGCCGAGTGGTGGTCGAAGTGGGATTCTGGCAGGGATATTGGGACCCAGGAAGAAGGGATGGGCCACTTCAGTTGAAACCGGGCTGAGATTGGAGGCTTCCATAGAGGAGCAGAGAAGAAAATGCAATAGAGAGGGGTTTAGGGAGGGGAGCTCTCTCTCACCTCAAATCAGGGTCATCATGGGATGGTGCCCACAGCTAGGCCCACACTGAATAGGAAGATGGAGGTCCACACAATGAAGCCAAATATCCCTCATGAAGGCACAGAACTGGTTGAGGAGATGGATGTGAGGTCTGTATCTCCAGCCCCACACCACCAGTGAACTCAGGTAAATCAGAGAACCCTGGGGCTGTCCAGGCTTAGCCAGGCTTAGCTAGGAATGGAGGAGGATCAGAGTCTGACCTGGGCCTTCCTTCTCTGTGGCAGCCATAGCTCATGTTTGGAACATTCTGGCACCTGGCATTATGTAGTAAGTGCTGGACATCCCCTTTCCCATGCCTGTGTTCACACGGAAGGGGAGGGCAAGGCAGTGAAGGCTGTGAGATGGGTGGGTCAGGAGAATGAATGAAGCACTGAGGGGTGTCTGACATCAAGAAGGGGATTGATCCAAAATAGGGGATAGAGCACATAGCAGGGTGGTAGGCTGGGAAAATATGGGAAGGTAATGGGCAAGGTACGTATCAGAGTGGAGGAGTGAGTAGGGAAGCAAGAAAAGTGGTTGGGTCCACTTAACAGAAACAGTGATGTCCAGTAGAGTTCTCTCCTTGTGCTGTGTGCTGTGCTCATCTGTGAGGGGTAAGTCCAGCCTACTAGAGTCCCTATGCCCCAAAATATAGACTAAAGGAATGAAACTCCATCTAACTATTCACCTGGCAGGGGCAAAACTCTCTGGCACCCTGGGAAAAGGTTTGTAGTGAAGACCAACTGATAGAATAGCCCATATCTGGGGTAACAGATTCATATTACCTATACCCATGAGACATAGTTAATGTATAAAATGCACTTCTTTCTTTTTTTTTTCTTTTCCTTTCTGTTTTTTCTCTTCCTTTTTTTACGTCTATGTTGTTCCACAACTGGGGCTTGAACACAGCTTCTAGGGCGTACAAAAATTCATTGCCCAAGGGTCTATTATTCTTCACCTCCTAGACCTCCATCTTCCTGGTCATTGTCAGCCCAGGTGCGGGTACCCTGGTCAGACGTCCTTACCAGCCTTCCTTCTCCCCATTTTCCCTCCCTCATCTCTCAATACACTGTAGTCAATCACAGTCTTTATGGTTTGGTTTCTTCAGTTTTGATTGCTTGAGGTTTGACTGGTCCAGATATAACACACTTGTTAGCTATGGCAGGTGCCAGGGGAGGCCTTTCTTCTTCTTCTTTTCCTAACACATCCCAGGAGAGTTGTCTGTGTTTCAGGAGTTTAAATTGAATTACTTTCCACTTTCTGGACTTTGCCTCCTGATTTTGTATCTTCTTTTGTATTAATGAGGATTGAACCCAGGACATTTCATTAGCAGTGAAGAACTCTCAATGAACTATAAACCAGCACCAGAACATCTTTTTTAAATTCTCCTTACATCTGAGTGTAAGATGGAAAGAAAATGGTATATTCCACTGTATTGGAATGTTTCAATTTTTTAGGTTTTGAGTAATCTAGTTAGACACAGTCATAGTCTAGAAACAGAAATGTTAGTAGAAACTGATATAGAAATAGAAATGTTGGTAGAAACTGGTTAAGAAAGGCTTTTCCTCACTATATAGCTGTTGACCGATACAACATATCCTTGGAAACTTAATGATGATGCCTTCAACATCTACTCATCAGGAACATAAGTTCATCTCAAGTGAGTTTGCTGTGGTCTGAACCTCCCCTCAGGTTCCTCCTTTTCTATCTTGCATGCTACATTCCATACTAGCAATATCACCATGCTCACTCTGACTGTTTAGATTTGTTGAAAGGTTGTGAGTTAATGTATATGTCATCCTAGACATCTTAACATTGAGTAACATGAGGAACTTCACCACAAAAGAGATCAATTCAGTTGCATTGATGATTTAAGATAAATTTTCATATCTTGACCACCTTTTTTAGTTTTTAGGCCAAACACTTTATTTAACTTGAACCAAAATGATCTTATAATAGGGTTTCCAAATCCAAACACGAAGTTCCTTTGCTTAAGGCAGAATGAAGTATGCCAGCCAATATATTCCCAGAATTTTTACCTGTGTTTTGACCATGCAAAAAATTTAATTTTGGTCATGAGGATTGAACTCTGGGCCTAGGCACTGTCCCTCAGTGATTCAGCCCAAGACTGGTGTTCACTTGAGCCACAGCTCCACTTCCAACTTTCAGGTGATAAGAGTCTCACGGACTTTTCAGCATGGGCTGTCTTTGTACCACAATCTCATATCTCCGCCTCATGATTAGCTTGGATTACAGGTGTGAGCCACCCACGCTTGGCAATCATGTAAAAGTTTTAACCATAATTGAAAATGCTTATGTATTTTTTGCAAAAATGTATTTCTTAAAAATAAATATATTTATAAAAATACATTTTTAAATTCTCATGCACATTTCCCATTAGGCAGTTCAGATGATATTAATCTGAATTGTTGTCAGATTAATTTGTGTATATGTGTGATGGTGTTTGAGTTTGAAGTTTGGCCCTGGGTGCTGTCCTCTGTCCTAACCACCCTTTTGATTTTGCTTGCTCAAGGTTAGCTCCCTCCCACTTGAGCCACAGCTTCCAGCTTTTTGTTTTTCAGTTGGAGATAAGAGTCTCTTTTTTTCCTGTCTGTGATTGTTTTCAACCATGATTCTCAGATCTCAGCCTCCAGAGTAATCCACTTACATTTAAATCAAGTGATCTACTGAGTGTTTCCCTGTCCTCTTTTGTGAAAGTACACCCCCCTCAGCATCAAAGATAGAAGAACAATCTAAAAGTTGTTATGATATTACAAATCCAAAGAAGATACTTGATATATTTATTATAAATGCTAAGATAAAAAATTTGGGGATGATGAAAGACAGAGTCTTTTTAGTGTCATTTTTGAAAAGTGAAGAAAATATTCAGAGCATTCCTAGATAAAGGGAATAAAGTAGACCGGTTTTCATGGAGTATTAATGATAAGAACAGTCGTTTTTGGTGTAATTATTGTAACTACTTGAAACAGTTTCAAAGTACAGATACTCAGGTATATTTTCGGTGTAGTAATCATTTTGGAACTCAACCAAAAACAAATCCTCAAAGAAACAACTGCCAATGAATAAGAGGGCGAAAGACTTAAAG